TCTGATAGTTACCCCTTGGAAATTTGATGTTCTTAAAACTAGTATAGGCATGGGTTGCACTTGGCAAAGTTTGGTGTGAATGTGGTCACTTTGGTGTAAAAATCTGTCATCGGGGCACATTGCCTAATGCAACCTTAACTTTTCCAGTTCACAAAAACTTTGAAAACTGGCCAAAACATCAACGATGCCGTAGTGCTTGGGTGGGGCAGGTAGATTTCGGAAAACTTGGGCTAAACAATAGCTATCACAGTGGTAACTGTCATCGCTTGTCAGTAAACAGCAAACAACTCGATTGGTCGTGGAACTGACCAGGCATATGGCGCTCGAAGTAATCTTCGCTGACGTCGATTTCTCGCTCTCATCATAGTGACAGTCAAAACAGTTAAACAGGTGTTAACCCATCTTTCATAGATCATACGAAAGACAAAAAAGTGCTCATGATTTAACTGAATAAGAAGAATAAGCATCACTCTGATCGTTATTAACAATGCTTCAACGGGACGTATCTTTTTAATGTTTGGTTTCCTTTTTCAGCTCACTGCTCTCTCCCCATAGCATGTTGATAAACATGTGTCTGGTTTATCAAAGTGTCATCACTGACATTTTTTTCACCTAGTGCGACCCTGATAGTTGAAACCAAAAGTTTGCTTTTCGGTTGCAGTTTCAAATTTTCTATGGTTTTGTTGCGGGCAAAGTTGAAAACTCTGCCCAAGTGCGACCCATACCATATTTGTTTTAAGAACATCTAATTTCCGCGGGGCAACTATCAGCCGATAGTTCCTCGACAGAAACACTCTATAGTTTAAATAGTGTACACTGTGGCTTATACCATTTCTTTTATAACATAACATCGATACATTGTAGCAAAAGAGTTTTCTTTTACTTAACAAATCTTACATGACCAGAAAAAACAAGAACAAGCAGAGAACTAGTCTTTGCATTTGCTCACGTCAGCAGCCTACACCCATGGGCAAATGGTGGACACTGAATTGACCAATCAGAGGGCTGGCTTTACTTTGGTCATGTCATAAAAGAATTTGTTTAACATTCAACAGCCCTTTGAGTTTGTGATCATTTTGTCTTTTCTTTTGACCTCAAATTTTTGATTCAGTAGTGATGGTGTAAGGAGAATTTAGATGCTACTCACTCATAGAGATAAAAAGAAAAGTAAAATTTTTCCTTCACTCTACAGAGAGAGGATGTTCTTGCATTGGGCAACAAGAAGGCTTTTTATCATCCCTTCTTCTGACTGTTTTACAGGTAAAGCACATAACACAAGGCTGTGCTCTCAGAGAAATATTATAGGGAGCCCAGTGCTCTGAAACTGTGAAATCCAGGGTGCCCAGCATATGCTTTTTATGAAAAAACTAAGATTCCTGAGT